AGCTACTCAGGAGGCTGAGGCAAGAGAATCGCCTCAGCCCAAGAGCTGGAGGTTGCTGTGAGCTGTGATGCTATGGCACTCTACCAAGGGCCACAAAGTGAGACTCTTCTCTTAAAAAAAAAAAAAAAAAGTCAGCCTGCAGTTCTACACCCACAGCTCAGTGGTTCACATACAATGGGGCTTGTAGGTTCAAACCCGGCCTAGGGCTGCTAAACAACAATGACAACAAAAACATAGCCAGGTGGGCACTGTCACAGGCGTCTGTAGTCCCAGCTACTTGGGAGGCTGAGATGAGAGAATTGCTTAAGCCCAAGAATTGGAGGTTGCTATGAGCTGTGACACCATGGCACTCTATGGAGGGCAACAAAGTGAGACTCTGTCTCAAAAAAAGAAAAAGGAAAAAAAAAAGAAGTCTGCCTGCTGCTGTCTGCTGAATCAGCTCTCATAACAACACGGAACCTAAGTACTTAGCATAATGTATCTTTGATTTTTATCAGTACTGATTACTGCTGAGCTAGCTAGACAGCCAGCCCTTACCTCGTTGACAAACACAGAGTAGCGTGCCAAAATCTGCAGAGTGAGTCTCCACAGACGATGCACCAGCAGGGGCAGAAACATCTCATCTGACCAGCACCGCCTGAGGCTGCTCCATGTTCTATGAGAAGCCAAAAGGCAATACGGACTTTCAGCTGGAGAAAAAACATGTTTAAGGAATTTCAGTCAATTATGGACTATGATCTAATAACGTTTCGTGTTTTTTTTAATGTTTGATTCAAAGGTGATTCTGAAAACTGGCCTCTGAAGACCAGCACTGCGACCTGCAAGGCTGGGGGCCTCACCACAGCACATGGGCCAGCTGTGAGCCATTCCCAGCAAGAGGGGGAACACCCTGACCCTTTACCCGCAGACCAGCACGTCTTCTCGGGGAGGAAGGTAGATCACAGCCAGTTTGCTACAGAAAAGCTCTTTCTCAAGTACACCAAGGATATATCCTCTTGACATGTTATATTCAGGAAAGAAAATAAGGTCTGTTCCCTATATTCTCAAAGTATCCTTTTTAATCTCTGTGAAATTTTAAAAATTGGTTTCTTTTTACCTTATTTAAAAAAAAAAAAGAAGTGAAACTAAGTGTCTTTAAGGTCCAACTTCCTGATGACGGTATTAAGATCTGGATAATCTGGTGAGCGTAACGAACAAACTGAGAGACATTCTGCTATTTACCACTTTAAGGAAGTTACCTGGGGCGTCTTCCAGTACATCTGTCAGTGCTGCTTCCAAGGACCCTGCTATTTCTCTAAATCTGAGAACACAAGAACACAAATTAGTGTGTGCAACTGTGCTGGTGCCTTTCCCTGTCATGCTCCTCACAGTTCTTCCTGGCATGGACTGCTGGTAAATCTGGCTTGCAAAGCCTATTCTCTCTTTATTTTACTCCACAAAAAATACTGACAAACTACCATTACATAGGGCTTCTATTAGTTGTAGCTGTTCTGAACCATAACCAACCCCATGTTTCTTTTCTTTCTTTTTGTTTTATTAAATGATAGCTGTATACATTAATGTAAACATGGGGTACAGTGTAGTATTTTCATATACAATTTGACATATTTTCATCAAACTGGTTAACATAGACTTTGTGTCATTTACTTATTATGTTAAAGCATTTATACTCTAGTTCTAGAAAAGTTCACTTATACCTGTGTTAGACAGACCATATAGGTGATCTTTCTAGTCGCCCTCCCACCACCCAGCCGCCCTTCTCCCCTCCCCTCCGCCACCCCCTCCCCATATTCTTGGGCTACCATATTTCTTTTCTTTTCATCTTTTTTTCTTTTTTGTAGCTGTTATCACTGTTGTTTGAGCCAGGTTCAAACCCACCAGCCCCAGTCTATGTGGCCAGCAACCTAGCCGCTGAGCTAAAGGAGTCAAGCCCAACCCAATGATTCTTAACCAAACAGCCCCTTAACTCTTTATTTAAGGTGTTCCTGGTAAGTGCCACCTATTTATAATCATCTAATCACTTCAAAGCCATGAGGCTTTGACTTCTCTATTCCGTCTAGATTAACATAACCACAGGGAAGTAACTGTGCCCAAGCCAAAGAAAGCTACACTCAGCACCCTGAGAAAGCCCACTGCAAGTAGCCAGTTAAAGCCAGGGGTTGTTGCTCAGGGCCCTTCTGGTCTCTGCTGAGCTTCCACAGGCCTTGCTTGTGGTCACCACTGCCAGTATCGTCTGTACCATGCCTCCCTAGATGTGCTTTGCCAGGCACCTCAGACCATCCTATCCCTGACTTCCGTTTGAAAAGCAGATATGGACGTATTTTTATGATTTTGTGAAATGTGCCTCTTTTAACAAGCCGCTTCCACAGACATTGTTTTCTAACTATGTAACTCTTCCATTCCATCCTTTCTTTCCCAGCATGCTCTTTTGTAGCCTGCTAGTTCCCTTGCTAGCAACAAATTCTGACACATACTTAAGATCAATCATCCAATTGATAATCTTGGTTTCTAATAGTACATACGTGCTTTTTAAAAAGCAGCTTCGAGACTCAGCTAAGGTGAGTGAGTGTCTGAGGAGTAAGAGGAACAGCAGTTTAGATAAGAGGCAGAGCCCCATGAGACTCGGCTGAGTGCTGGCAACATCAAGGTGCCCTGGACTGTGAGACCTGGCTGGTTCCCTATGGCTGCGGGTGTGCACCGTGGAAGAAAGGTGCTCTATGACTGCCCAGTGAAGCTTACAGCAGGATCGCCTTCTACACTGCAGCTGAGAGGCACAGGAGACAGCAGAGCATGGAGGGCAGCCAGGGAGAGCAGCAGGCAGGGCAATAACGCTGAGCTCAGTAGTGCTGAGAGCTCGACTTCCAACCTCACTTTCTTCCAATTCAAAAACAGGCAATCAGTCTTGGTACAGAAAAGGCCTGACAACATGCACTGTTTATATCAGGAAAATACCAAAGCATCAAGATCCAGCAGTAAGGAGACGGTTATGTCATCTGGGGCACAGTCAAGGGACTAGTATGCAGTATTAAAGCAGAAATCTCGATGCTATAAAGCAGTGGTTCTCAACCTTCCTAATGCTCTTTAATACAGTTCCTGTGGGTTGAGAACTGCTGCTATAAAGCAAAAGTAAGCGTGATTTAGAATTAGGTAAAAGCATGGGATACAAAGTTATGTGTAATATAAGATAAACTCCAATAAGCACACAAATAAGAAAGTACAAAAAACTGCGGCAGAACCCTGACATCTATGCCTTTCACACAAATGTTCTGCCTGTCTGTGTGCAAGCGCAAAGACATGGGAAATAAAAGGGCCTGAGTCACTGGACATGGCTGGGCTTCCTTGGCCAGGAGCAGGACAACCCTCTTGAAGACCTTTGCTGTGCAATAACTTCTGTCTGTAAAGCGGCAGACTGTATTTCTCCTTGGAAAGTAGCAGAAAGGGAAAAAGAACGCTTTGGTAAAATGTGAAAAGCCGAGCTGTGGTTTTCACATGCATACAGAATGCCATCCTACTCTCCAGAGAGCATACTCTCAACTGAACACACACAGGAAAGCCAACCCCAAGTACTAACATTTGTACGTTCTTAAGTTTGGTTTGGGGAAGGTATGTAGACATTACCCCTCTATGAACAACACAGGTCTATAGTAATAATAGATTACATAAAAATATATAATGGCAATTGTAACAGTGATGGGTGCTGAAGTATCAGAAACTGTATGAGCATATGCACATTTGAGGAGGAGTCAGGGAAAGGGAAGCAAAGGGCCACCTGCACCTAAACACTACACAGGCCCCTCACTGTAAGGCGAGGGGAACATGATACATGCAGTGCACATCATGACTGTTCTGAGAGTACATCACATTCTAGAGCAGTGGTTCTCAACCTTCCTAATGCCGCGATCCTTTAATACAGTTTCGCATGTTGTCATGACCCCCAACCATAAACTTATTTTCGTTGCTACTTCATAACTGTAATTTTGCTACTGCTATGAACTGTACTGTAAATATCTGATATGCAGGATGTATTTTCGTTGTTACAAAGGGGTCATGACCCATAGGTTGAGAACCGCTGTTCTAGAGGGAGTTCAATAGATACACACTCACACCAAACTAAATTTGGCCTTTGGCATTTAAAGGGCTTACTGAAGTTTCCAGGCAGCCAATGATTCACTGTAATTTGAGGCTGTTTTGGTCACGTTTGTATTTGTTTTCTTGCTATGAGAAACTAATTCCTCAACCACTTCCCAAGAGACCCAATAAGAACTGAAACGCAGACACGGTGGGGTCTCCAGACATTGAGGGTACCACTGAGTTCACCGGAGTGCTGGTAGTGCCTCTTCTCCTGAGGACCCTGGGATGTGTGCACACAGTTGAATCCAGGAGCAGGAATCTCTTACTGAGATGCACAACAGTAACATTTCTTCTTAGAAAAATGTTAAAACATCACCACCTGCTGTCCTTAGGTTTACTTTAAGTGACCCTGAAGTGAATCTGATGACAGTGCCACTCTGCCACAGCCGTGTTTGCAGAACTTGTCATCCCTCAGAGTAAACAATCCAACATGATAAAATCAGTAGAAAAGTTCTACAAAGTCTTACTTGAATTTATTTCAAATAAAAATACATGTACTAAACAATGTACTAAAAAAAGTTCCACACATCATAACTCAAATATAATTTTGAAAAAATCATATATTAAAATAAAGCAGTCTAAAAGAAAAAATAACCAATACTTTTGAATACTCTGGCTAAAATCTGGTGATGGTATAATAAAGAATTCTCTCAGGGAACTGGCTGAGTTTCAACACAGCTTCAGGCCCAGCCAAGAGCATGGGTGGAAACAGCCTGCAGGGCCTGCGGAGGTAGAGCTGGAGGAGCAGCAGAGCACAGTAACCACGCTTGGGCCCCAGGGTCTTAGGAAAGAAGAATGTAGAGACGAAAGGCAGAGGACCATGTCTGTAATATGCTGGCATTTGACAATTAAAGCCATCCAACTTCAAACCCAGGCTACAGAAGTGGGAGAAGTTAAACACTATTTCTCTATCACAGTCTTATTCCGTAAAATGTTGCTTCACTACTTTATATCCTGCTCATGAATCAAAAAGACGTCTTGTTCCAGCTTGATCCTGATTATCACATAACAAGTATTTCCAGTGATTTCCCACAAAACAACAAACTAGATGATGTGACCTTGGAAAATTAAGCATTAAACCCAGTGCTGTATGTGAAAGGGCACTTTCTACTTTACCCCAAGAACGGATTTCATTATCAAAGATGTTTACAGATACTCTCAGTCATCTCAAGCAATTACCACCAAGGTACCTAATTCTTGGTATCTTTCCCTTCCCTCTCTGTAATTATTCCTCAGAACTCTGGGGAAATGACTGCATCATTACTAATGAAAGCATTCGGCAATTTAAACAAAAATGCCTGTGCTTCTTCAAAGAGCATTTCAACTAAAATGCAATGTTAACACCATTCTATGGAGGAACTTAACCATGACCTCATTCAAGAGGCTATTATTTACCTTCAAGTACAACACATGGTATTACAGGTTTACCTTAAACGTCCCCAAGTATTTTAGAGAATCACTAATTGACATAGGTGATAACGCTATGAAACCTGGAAGAAAAACATTGCTGTTTTCCAAATAGAGAGTGTAAATGTCACAAAGATTCTAAGTAGAGCTGAAAAAATAACAAGGATTCTCACAAACAGATAGATGGAATCAGCTGCAAAGAAAACCTAAAGCTATGCTTCTCCTCACTGCCTCTGGGGAAATACTGCAGATGAACAAAAAAAACAGAAGTAGGCTAGGGCCATTATTTGAGGCAGACGAAGAAATAGAGAAAATGGAAAAAAAAACCTGCTCTGGGGCCCCTACTTCCACTCTCTTCACAATGAATGAGAGTACAGTGTGTGGGAGAGAGACTGGGGGACTCAGCTCATTCCCACTCTAGCATTCTGAGCTCTCTGATTACTGGAAAAAAAAAAAAAAAAAAACACTTACCTTTTTGTTGTACAAGCCAGACACTGCCAACCATAACACTTGTAAATTTGTACTTTAAATTTTATCTCCCTGAGGATAATAGATGATCTTTGAGAAGCAGTTATTAATTGGGGGCAACATTCTTAACCAGCATTCAAATTCTGTTTTAGAAGGGTAGAGGTAGCAGGTAAATAAATGACTAACCTTATTTGAAAATAAACAGGCAAGTTCCACTTATTATTGAAGTTATGGTAGGCAGGATGAGCTCTTAATCTCTTTATACTGGCCTGTGATCCACATTGCTGTTCAAATCTTCTAAGGAAATCCATACTTATGGTATATTTCTAAAATAAGAACAAACAGGTAGAACTGTCATTATCAACAAATTAATCAGAATTAGGAGCACATCTTAAAAACTATAATCAAGATAAAGAAGATCAACACACAGAATCTATTTCTAAAGTTAATAAGATGGACCTTCCTTTCGTCCCATTTAAAGACGTGGTAACATCCAAAGTGGTTCTGTGCCATGCTCAGATCTCACACAGCAAAGCTCACCGGAGACTCAGGTGCTCTAGTGCAAAGTTCTCTAAAGCTGGAATAGATAGCAGATTAAATGGTATAATTCAACATCCTCTCCAGGAGGAGGAGGAAAAAAAATTTAAAAAGGAAAGAGAGAAAATCAAACCGAGTGAGTAATCACATCATTTTTACAGAGGAGACAGTATGAAAACGAGCAGGGAGAGTCACCAATACCACACAGAGCAGTGGCTACATTCCCACACCTTGCACTTGGAACAGCAGGATTTTAATTTAGCCACAAAACTACCTTAAAATGTGACTACTGTTCTTATTTTCCTCCACTCTACAGATGACATTTCCTTTTCTGTTTAGGCTCAGAGAGAACTGGCCTAAGAGACAAAGTTACGAAGTAGACGAGACTGCCAGCCAGCCAAGCAAAACTGCATCCGCATGGCTTGGTGCCTATAGCTCAGCAGTTAGGGTGCCAGCCACATACACTGGACCTGATGGGTTTGAATCCGGTCCGGGGCTGCCAAACAACAATGACAACTACAACCAAAAAATAGCTGGGTGTTGTGGCAGGCACTGGTAGTTCCAGCTACTTGGGAGGTGGACGTAACAGAATCACTTAAGCCCAAGAGTTGGAGGTTGCTGTGAGCTGTGATGCAATGGCACTCTACCAAGGGTGACAAAGTGAGACTCTGTCTCAAAAAAAAAAACAAAAAAAACAAAAAAAACAGAAAACTGCAGCTGTACATTCCCTATGGGTCTTCTATTCCCCAAGTCCCTGGGATTTATGGAGAATATGCAGGACTTTTTTATATACTTCTTAATTAAAAGGGAGTCAATTCCAGGTTTTATGTTAAAAACCTTTAACCTAAATAAGCTGAAGCCTGTGTTTAGACAAGAATTTCAGTGTGGCAAAACTACAGGTTTTAAACTCTCAACTGGTTTTAAGCAACCCTATGGTACCCCCTACATGTTGTGTAGGTGTGTGGAGTTGAGACAAAGAAAGGGATTATTCCTTCTTTGGGGGATAAAGCTATACCTCAGCATAGAAAGGATGCTGAAGGAATACAAAGATAGTTTCCACTTCTCAAGAAACACTTTACACTAAGGCTTAAAAGTGAAAGCATTCCTGGAAAGAAACTTACAGATACTGGTTGGAAACTGTCCCTACAAACATTAGTGGTCTTAGAACTCTAAAGTCAAAGCTCTAGTGGAAAAATTCATTTCTCAATAGAAACATTTCATGATCTAACGTGATCAGTATGATCCTCTGCAAAGCACAGTAAATGTAAAGCTTCTCAAATTGCAGGCATGGAAAACCGTTACTGTACTCTGCTATGATATCTAATTTTAAAAGCCCTACTTTTTTAAATGACAGAAGTCATTACAACAAAATTTACTGAAAACAACACAACCATATTATTCAATATATTATAACATGAGAAAATTAGCCCAGAGAACGGATAAATGGCATTTCTGAAACAATAAGACTCTAACTTTGTTTGCTTATCTGTTCTGAAGTCTAGGAAGCCCCAGGCTCTCTAGGCCTCCTTTGTGCCTTTCTCTCTATACTTTAATAAGCAAACTAACTGAGCAAATTAGAAAAAGCAAATAAAACTTTTAGAAATGAAAATTAGGACAAAAAAATTGGAAACTCAATGTACAAGTGAAAAAGAGTTTACACACAACTAAAGAAGGAATTAGTGAATTAAAAGACTGAGAAGTTATCCAGAATACAGCAAATACAGAAGACAAGGTGAGAGGGTCTAATCAAGAGTTCTAAAAGGAGACAGTAGCAGAATGAAAGAAAAACACAATTGAAGAAATAATGTTCCGGAACCAGAGAAGGCACCAATTCTCAGATTCAGAACCCAACAAATACCACATATAATAAACAACAAGAAGGTTTTTTTTTTTTTTTTTTTTGAGACAGAGCCTCACGCTGTCCCCCTGGGTAGAGTGCATGGCATCATAGCTCACAGCAACCTCCAACTCCTGGGCTCAAGCGAGTCTCCTGCCTCAGCCTCCCAAGTAGCTGGGACCACAGGCGCCCGCCACAACGCCTGGCTATTTTTTGGTTGCAGCCGTCATTGTTGTTTGGCGGGTCTGGGCTGGGGATTCGAACCCGCCACCTTAGGTGTACGTGGCTGGCGCCTTAGCTGGTTGAGCTATAGGCCCTGAGCCAAACAACAAGAAGTTAATACGAGACATATCACTGTGGAGCTTAGCACATCAAAGTTACAGAGATCTTAAAACCACCAGAGGAAAAAAGCCATTATCTAAATAAAGGGAAAAAAGTAGATTAATAGCTAATCATACCAGAAGTCAAAAGATAATGCTCAACATGCTGAGAATTCTATATCCAGTAAAATGACCTTTTCAACATAAAAGTAATATAGACATTTTCAGATAAACACAGAGTTTGTTACAAATAAATAAATAAATAAATAAAATTTATTACCAACAAAGCCTTACTAAAAAGTCTTCTAACAGATGAATTTCAGGAAGAAGGAAAATAATCCAAGAAGACCAGGCTGACTTTTGAGAAGGAACAGTAAGCAATCCGAGTGGCAAGCACGGTGGGGTGAATCTCAATGACTATATAAAACAACAGAGGTTTGGGAGTGAATTATTCTGAGTGCAGCTCCCGGAAGGGTTCCTGAGAAATCAGTTGTCAAGATGCCTGATAAAACACATTTCCAAGAAGAAGTCTCAAGAGTTAAAAAGAAATTTAAAAAGAAAAATCAACCATGAAGAAGAGTTGTCAAGAGAAAAACATTAGAAACACAGCAAAAGGAAATAAAAATCATCCAAACCATCTGTCTTCTGAAGGATAAACAAAGCATACTAATATAAAACAGATAAAGATAGTACCCAACAAAAGAAAAACCTGGCAACCCCTTTCAAAGGGTAGCAGAAAGCATTTGCAAACAATAATGGAATCAGAAATAACAATTTTGAATAACAGGAGTAGAGAAAAAGAAGAAATGCTGTACCATCTCAACTTACTGAAGAAAAGATTGCTACAATTTTGTGAAACCCTGAAAGTCCCTCCTGAAAAGCTGAAAGATTTAACTCACATGTCAATTCTACTGGATGTGGAAAGGGCACAGGAGTGAGGTAATAAAGGTCTGGCATTACTGCAGGAAGAAATAGAAAAAATGGTAGAGAGTGCAGAATTGATGACTGAGGATATTCAGAGCCTAAAGAACAAAACTGAAATTCTGCCAAGTGAGGTGGAGGAAGAGAAGACACTAACACAGGTGCTTCAAATGGAAAGTAAGAGTGTACCCCCTCTTCCAGAACTTTCTCAGAAAAGTCTCAAAGCACCCACACTTCAGAAAGAAGTTCTGACACTAATTCCAAACCAGAATTCTCTTCTGAGGGACTTGGATGGTCTTCATAATTCCTCCCAGGTTAAGAACATTCATTGAAGAAGCCTATAAGAAACTAGATGCCACCTGAAGAGTTTTTTTCTTAGATTATCCCATATTAATTTAATGTTTATGATTTATAAAGCTATTAATCCACGATATTACAGAGGGTGAGGTTTCTGCAGGATTTTTTTTTTATTAAATGATAGCTGTATACATTAATGCAAACATGGGGTACAGTGTAGTGTTGTGCAGGATTTATTATGCCCTGAAAAGCACTTTAAAATTAGGCCTATAGCTCAACCGACTAAGGCGCCAGCCACGTACACCTAAGGTGGCGGGTTCGAATCCCCAGCCC